GAGGAAGTGGTGGGAGGCCCCTCTCTCTCCTGCAGCGTTCTCTCCCACTGGAGCTCAGAGGCGGTCCGGAACATGGAGAGGAACTTCAATAATGTCCATGAAAGTTTATATTCATTATTTTGATATGGAACTTAAAGGTAAAAAAAAATTTTTTTCTGAATTTACCTACAAATCACCCTTAGAATTCATAAAGCACTCTTCATATGGGAACTACCCAGGTGTCTAGATAATAAAGTGGAGAACAGGAAGAAAAAAATAGGGAAAAAAGATGGATAGCAAAGAAAAAAAAGTCAAAGAACTTTTTAGGTCAAAAACCCTAGAAGGGACTATGCTGGTAGGAAGCCCCTCCTCTGTAAGAAATACTGTTTTAGTGTCCTCCATAATTCAAGGCATTTTTCTTTCATCTCTGGAAATTTTTTAAATTTCATGGTTTAAACTACCCAGTGAAAGACAAAAGTAGGACCAATTCCTTGGTTCTGGAGCTGAAAAGAAGAATACAAGAGGAGCTGGGGAGACCCACACTCCCACCGCACACTCCCGTGTGTGCTTCCATCAGAGCCTCTGCTGCCGTGTGTGGGGTCACTGCTTACTTGTCAGTCCCAGACTGTCAGCTCCGTGAGAGCAGGGACTATACTTTATTGTCATTGTCATCTCCGTGCCTGACACAGTGCCTAATGTTTACTAGGTACTTAATAAATGTTTGTTGAATAAATAATATTGTTTATATATCAACAGTGACAAATTCATTTTTGTGAAACAAATTTTTATTCCAAAGTGCTGGAACTAGATTTTCTTCTCAATTCTTTAAAACAAACAAGAAAAAGAAAAACAATTTAAAAACCCAAAGGAAAAAGGAAGAAAGAAAAGAAAATCTGCCTTTAAGTTAATTAACTCTACTCAAGAATCATTAGTGTACTTTTCACATTATATTATAAAGATCATCACAACTAACACCCTTTGGATTGCCAGGTACCTATGATCAACATTTAATATTTAATCCTCACTGTAACCTTATGTGATAGATAATATTATCCCATTTTACAAATGAGGAAACCAAGGCACAGAGAAGTTATGTAACTTGTCCTAAGTCATC